CCCCCCCCCCCCCCCCCCCCCTGATTACTTGCCCAGCATGTTGTTGTGGCCTTCATCTGCCATGCTTGAATAATTGCGCACATCAGCCTTCTTAGCTGATGACATGCCATGTGTCGTCAATGTTTTCAGGAAGCCGTCATAGAAAGTATGTGTCTCTGCATGGACTATCCCCGGTGCCATCATCCGTCACATCCTCTCCTGGCATGTCCCACATGTGGTGTGGGTCATACCCCTATTGCAACTGCAGTCGGAATTCCTTCTTCCTTGTCTGATGGACGACAGACACAGCAGCCTGAGGAGGAAAACAGATTACGATATGAACCACCTACAGAGCGCTGTACTGACAGGTTGTCTCCACCAGCGCGAGCTGTTCCAGACCAAATCCTGCAGCAGCTGAACGTTCTTGCTTTGGATCAATCGTCCCTGTCGTCGTCTACCCATAGAGAAGGAATAAATACTGAGGGAACCCAAGAAAATTGCTCCATGCTGCTTTGTGATAAACCACCGGGGATTCAGCTAGAATGTGGTTCGCATGCCTTATGCCGTGAGGATTACGAAGGGATAGCCTGCACGAGCTTTTGTCTTCATACGTATGATGACAGTCTACACTGCACTCATGTGCGACACCCTGACATGTCATGTCCAATTTGTAGACGGGCTGGAACGGCAATGCCTCTACCATTGCGGTCGACGTGCCTCTGTGTTCCTAGCATGTAGGAGCCACGTAGCCTGTGACATCGGTCTACGCCGTGCCATTCGATGCACTAACTGTGACAGTGAGAATTGGATGTGGTGCTTCCACAGGCCACACCCAAACTGGTCCTGCCCGGTCTGTAGTCGTCTGGTCCCAGACCCGTTGTGCCTTGGGATACGTGAACAGGCGATGCACCACGTCCTCGCTCCGGCCTGTTTTACACACAGGGCAGCGGTCGTCGGGCGGGGTTCCGTCCTGGGGACACCTTCGTCTGCAGAGCCACCGCCTCACCAGAAGGGCGAGGTAGATGATGAGCCACTGCATGCTCCCGATCCATGTTCTTGACTGCTACCACCGAGCCCCAGGGGATGCCGCGACTGACTTCCAGTGCGAGCCCAGTATACCTTTACCACCTGTTGGTGATCGTGCTGCGTACGTCCACGCCTGGTGCTCTGAGCACGTTGCCCAGCTTCTGGAGTACTGCAGGAGATTAACGCGCTGAGAAGGTTGCTGGTGGTGCCCTCATGCTCTCCAGGTCCATTCGGCCAGGTCGATTTCCAGGTCCCGAATGCTCGCTCTAGGCTGGTAGATGGTAAGACTCGAGTTCTCAACCACCCCGATTTTCCTCTACCACCTGCATCCTCCCGATCCAGGTGCTCTTGATGGCTACCACCGAGCCCGAGGGGATGCCGCAACTGACATCCAGTGCGAGCCCAGTATACCTTTACCACCTGTTGGTGATCGTGCTGCGTACGTCCACGCCTGGTGCTCTGAGCATGTAGCCCAGCTTCTGGAGTACTGGGGGATATTAACGCGCTGAGAAGGTCGCTGGTGGTGCCCTCACGCTCTCCAGGTCCATTCGGCCAGGTCGATTTCCAGGTCCCGAATGCTCGCTCTAGGCTGGTAGATGGTAAGACTCGAGTTCTCAACCACCCTGATTTTCCTCTACCACCTGTTGGTGATCGTGCTACATACGTCCACATCTAGTGCTCCGAGCATGTAGCCCAGCTTCGTGGAGTACTCTAGGAGATTAACGCGCTGAGCGGGTCGCTGGTGGTGCCCTCGTGCTTTCCAGGTCCATTCGGCCAGGTCGATTTTCAGGTCCCGAATGCTCGCTGTAGGCTGGTAGATGGTAAGGCTCGGGTTCCCAACCACCCTGATTTTCCTCAGCAGATCATGCCTCACCACTATCTGTTGCAGTGCTGTTCCTCGCGACCTCACTTGCGGTGACTCCCGGGTTGCATTTGTCATGCATGTTAAAGAGGAGCCAGGCTCTGTTCTGGGGTGAAGTCCTCTTCATTTATTCTAATTTTGATTGTTTTTAAAATGTCTTTAAAATTTAAATGTCTAGTCCATTGCTTGGTGGTCATCGTACTAAAAGTCTGAAGCATATTAATGCCCCAGCAATGGGCGCGAATCATGAACAATTATGTGGCGGGTATACAACACTTCCATCAACTGTACTGTGCATTCTTCTTGTGATTCTACGAGCTGGCATCATGTTGTTTCCCCTCCCCCCCCCCCCCCCCCCCCCCCCCTTCTCTCCCTCTACCTCCTCCTGTCAAGCGCCCAAGCCCTTGCCTCCTCTTCCCCTTAAGATGGTGTGGGTGTGAAATAACATAATGATTTTCTTTTAAAATGAAGTTCTTATGTTGCTCTTTGTTTTGCAGGGCATAGGCAAGCTCTGGAAGAGGCATCGTGAGATGGCCGCCAAACTGTATGCTGGCTTAGAGGAGGTAAGGCAGAGATGGCTCATGGGCACTCTGGCGATATGACGTTCAGGACAGCATTATAGCTCTTTCTCTCCCTCTCTCTATCTCTCTGTGCAAAAGACGGAGGCGTAGCACAATTGTATGCAAATGGATTGGATTTGTTGTCCCTCTCGATATCTCTCTTTCTTTGTCTCTATCTCTCTTTCTCTCTTTCTCCCTGTCTCTTTGTCTCTCTCCGTCCCTCTCTCTCTCTCTCTGTCTCTCTCTGTCTCTCTCTGTCCCTCTCTGTCTCTCTGTCTCTCTCT